GTTCTATAACTAACAGTTAAAGAAACATACTCTGGATAAAGGTTTGTAAAGCAAGAGACAGATTAAATCATTAGTCAAATGATATGGTCTCCTAGGAAATAACTTATAAGTTGAAGAGCCAGATCCTAAAGTGTAAACAAGCTACTTGCTCCTGTGGTTGGTGTCTGCTTGATGAAACCCTGACTAAAGCTGCTGATAGATGAGCTAGTGCATATAATGAAATTAGAAAAGATAGTGAAACTCATCTCATCTGACAACTTTTTCCCATCTTCTTAATTCATCCACAAATGCTGGATCCTCTGACTCTCTCCCACAGGGAGTCTGTGCCCTGAGACAGCTTGGATAGAGGTAGCCTGACTATGAGGAGCTTATTCAGACATTCCACAAAAAAGTGTGTATATAGATGCAGGGGTTACTCAATGAATCTACTAGAGGCTTAGCAAACTCAATGAACACCCAGCATTAGGGTATGGGAGTAGTGGAGGTATGTTGACCAGTAGGGGTGTGTGAAGTGGGTCATACTTGATTCAGATTCAGATTTGGCCTGAATCGGGGACAGTGATTCAATTCATTGATTCAGATTACTGTCCCCAATTCGTTTTGGCCAAATCCAAATCCGAAGATTCAGTGCCAATTCAGAGACTCAGCAATTCAGCTATAGTTACAGCTGTAAATGTTTTTTCTACATACCTCAAGGTACCAGGCATGGCTTGTGAAAGCTGCGATGCTGGGGCACATGGAGTCTCCCACAGGAGTGCAGGGGGGCCCCCACATGCTTGGCAGTGAACCCAGAAGTGGATTGGAAGTACTTTTGGTCCACTTCTGGGTCCACCAGGGAGCGCGCGGGGGGCCCCCCTACACCTTCCAGGCTCAGCAAGCTACCACAGGGGCACCCTGGGTGCCCCCCCAGACCCAGGAGGCACCAGTCGTTGATCCAGGGAGTACTTGGTCTGCTGTGGAGTGCGCTGGGGAGCCCCCCCCATGCTCCTGTGGGACGCTCCATCCACCCAGCATCACAGCGTTCATGAGCCACCTGCTACCTTGAGGTATGTACAAAAAACATTTAAAGCTGTGTCTATGTCCAAATCTCCAAATCTTTCTGAATCTATCCCAATTGATTCAGAGGGTTCTGATTTGATTTGGAGAGATTAAAGGGTCTCCTGATTCAGTTTAGATTTGGAGATTTGGCCACCGAATCTCTGCTGAACCAAATTGGAGCCGAAGCTCCGCACAACCCTATTGACCAGTATAGATTTGGGGTGAGTGTAGCAGTATCAACTGTTCTCAGGTGACAGCAACATCCCTGAGAGCCAAGTCTGGTGACCCACTCACTTCCTGCCCCTGTGATGCATACAAATTAGGTGCAAGGTTATGTCTGCTCTGGGAACCCCCCAGGGAGGCTGGGGGGGGAGCGCCATTCTACTCACTGTTCTCATCTCCTGCCCCAAGAAACACTGCTGGCTGGACACGGCAATGCAGGGATGTTCCTGCCATGGCAAAGACTCCTGGGGACAATTCTGACACCCTTTCTTATTGGGTGCTTTGGGCTCTTGCCCTACTTGCCCTGGCCTAGTTAAGCTATTCATATCTCCTAACTGCCTTGAGAATGGAAAATATTTCCCTTTATGGTCTAAAGTGATCAAGCTGATGTCCTCAATATCTGCTGAACTTTCCATCAGCAGAAAAGTTCTAATTCTCTTTGCTGAAATATAGACAGAGGCATCATCTCCCACTGACATTGTATATGGCATTCCAGAGCAGTCTATTTCTTCCCAGTCTTCTTCTGCATTAGTGCAGTTCAATTAATGCTAGAAAGATTTCCTCCAGGGGAGAGGAAAGAAACCATCATGAGGGGCAGAGGTACTGTAGCAGCTCTTATACTGTTCCTTCCCTGTAGTGAGGTAAAAGGGAGCATGCCAAGTACTCCTATATGTCCCAGTGGCTCCTGGAGATCTTAATCTCCTCCTGTAGCTATTGACAGTTGGCACAAATTAGAGTAGGCATAACAAGAGTCTTAATTATGTTAGGACACCATGCCAACAAAGAGTAACCTCAGGATGGGAGGAATGTAAACTTGACTGTGACTTAGTGTACACGCTAGCCCCCACACACTCGGGGCAGCTAAGAATTGTGGTCTTTTGGCTTTACCTCAGTGAAAATGGGAGCCTTAGTAGCCACCCATAGAGTAGCTCTGTGGCCACTCCCAGAGAAAGTCCTCTTCAGGAATTTTATAGTGTTTATGAGTACTGCCTGGACAACAGTGCTGAGGCCAGATTCTCTGCCTACCAAACATTAGGGGCAGGAAGCTAACCAAGACATTTTCTGCTACATCTCCATGAACTGGTAATGGATAAAAGTGTTCTAGTGCATTATCATGTACTTGAATTTCTGCAGCTTCCATCTGTAGACCTAATACTCTACTTATACCTTTTGTCTGAATTATAGTCACGTAATTAGAGAAATCAGCTCAGAAACCTTACAATTGGCTATTTTTGGTGTGATATTTTTTCTTGGAACCATTCACACCTCCAGTCTAGCTCTTACTTTGCAACCTCTCACTCAGACACACAACTTAATTCACCTATAGGCTTATTCATCAGGTCACTCCTTTCCTTCCTTTCTGTCAGTCTACACCATTACCACCAGCTAAGAACCCTCAGTCCTCTTCAGTCCAACTGCATTATTTGAGAAACACTGTTCAACCCCCAATCAGGTTTAGTCTGAAAAATTTCTGTTTTCCTGCCAAGCTGAACCAATAGCCCCAGCTCAGGACCACAACCAAATGAACTCTCCCAAGGTCAGAATAGCATCCCAGCTCCACCCCTATCCTTCCTATTCTACCTCTCCCACAAACAGGCTCAGGAAATCTACTGCTAACCCTAAAACCACATACCGAGGTGCACAAAAGACATCTGACATGCTTTAGTCACAAAGCTATTGTACAGAAAGTGGAAACACAACCATATGTCAGTCATGCTTTATAGGAAATGTGTGACCCCTGCTCTGTTTTCAAAAGGAATGATTTGCAAGTTTAATTCCAGGAGAGGGTTCTAGGATATAAATCACAGTCTGACATCAGTGCCTCCTTGCAAACTAGAGTTAGACATCTCTAAAATCTTGCACTTGAGAGGGACAGGATTTAAACCTACCTCTGTATTTCCCATTGACTACCTGGGGCAGATCCCCACTTCGCCTGCTGACTGTTGTGAATCCCTTTCAGAGGTGCCTAATACTCTTTGCACAATGTATATAGAGGTTAGATGCCTAACTAAAGAGTTGTGGTTTCCAAACAGCTAGCTAGGTGCCTGAACATTAGATGTGACAAGCATTGTCAGCAAGGCCATTCATTGACTTTTCTGACTCCCTTAGTGAATCTAGCCCCAACACTGTCTCCTTGCAGCCATACTCAGAAACTCCCCATCCCTCCCACCCACACAGAGACTCCATGTGTATTACTGGGTCTGTGAAAGCAAAGGCTGCAGCAGGAGGTGTGCATGTGCAGTCACCTCTATTGTGATGAACAAAAATAGCTCCTCAGAAGCCTGCAGTCACTTCTCTGTGCCACGTCCCTCTGCTGTCTGCAATCTACATACTGCAGAGCCAGAAGTTCCCCGATGGCAACCAGCAATCAACCACACAATGCATTTTTGACATTACTGGTAAGGTTTAGCCTCATTATCTCCTAACAACCAAGTGCCCTGATACAAACCTCCCTTGATTTTTTTTCCAGAATTTTACTTCCAGCAGTATAGAAATGCTGCAATAAAAAGACATATTTATCCATTACATGTATAGCTCAGGCAGCAGCCAGGAGGTATACCCTACCTTGTACTCCTGATACAGTAAGGAAAGACTTTCATGATAAAATATAGCTTAATCTCTATATTAGATTGGTGTTGGGCCTCTCATAATCATAGACTCATCTATAAAAACCATACCATCTGTTTTGCTTTGTTGGGAGATGTAACCATTACTGGCTAAAAAGAATCAAGCTATCAGAAGTATTGGACAAATTAAAAGTGAATCACTGGGGAAAAGCAACATTTTAGAGCCAAAAATGATTTCTTCATTGAAATAAGTAGAAACATAAAGTTGAATGTTTTTCCAATATTATAAGGGCACTGTTTTTATACTACAAATAAAGATAAGAGGATTTTTAAAGGATATCTTATCAAATGTTAAATACAAAAGACAAAATGAGTTGCTTTGTTGTTTTAAGTGCATAAGTAACAGTTCAGCAGCTGTGTTCACAGATCAATCTAGACTTATGTTTTGCAATCAGAAAATATGATCTCCTGACTAAACATCTTAAATATAGAATGCAGAAATCCCAGTTCAAATATGAGAAACGCTAACAGCATTCCACTTGTATTTAGATGAAACTATGCTTATTCTAGCATTCAAATATTTATCCTAAATTACAACTCAGAATGTTTGTACATGGTAAAGTGGCAGATTTAGAAATTCTTAACCCATTGGATTCGGGAATAAAGCCATTTGGAGCTAGATTACTGTATGTATTTATAATAGAAATAGACAGAAAAATTAAAATATAATTTAGTTGATCTCCAGTTAATGGTTTAAGATATATGATAACATACAAATCTGTAGTATACTTTTTTCTTTTGAGTGAATATCCATACAAAGTAGATCACGTCTGTTCAGCTCAAATACACACATATTTATTCATCTTATCTGTTCTTTTCTGCACATACTTCTTCTCTCCTTAATTTTATCTGGCCATTCCTCAAATCCTGATCTAGGGATGTAGTCCCTGTGCTTTCTTCCTCACTTAAGCACAGGCCCACCATTCTCCTCCTTTCGCCTTTCTCACCATCATAGGCCAGTTGACCTAAGACTGAGTGTAGAACAACTAAACAAAGAATTTGAGTTAAAATAAATGAAAGAAACCACATGCAGTCACTAAATTAAATACAAGGTGCTTACCACACCAGCGTTTCCCCATTGTTCCAGGATGTCCTGACTAATATGGACTGTGGCCCAGACACTCAAAGGTGTTTAGGTGCTTAGGGCTTGATCCAAAAAGGGGGCTATGGGGACCTAAAATTGAGGGGCAGCAGTCAATTCTATACTGTGCCTTTGTTAGGCTCTTGCTGTCTGGAAACCAGAATCCTGGATTAGGCACTTGCCCCATATCCAACACATGGGATTTGTCTCAGAAGTGTATCCAAAGCAGCCAGTACTGTGAGATGGAAGCCACAAAAGGTAAAAGACTAAACGCAGGGCTGTATTAGAAATACCACCCTTCTTCAAGAGTTAAGCATCCCACTGAGGGTTGCAAAGAGGCCCCACTGGCTACTTAAGATCTATAGCTCCGGACCCTCTCTTGAAGGTTGTTAGCTACAGCCATTTTTTAAAGAACTAAGTGGGATCCCCTCCTTTTTCCTTAAGGACACAGGGTAAGGGAAGAGGTCACTTTTTACACAGTAGTCTACTCCTTACTACACAGCTCCAGGAGTGGTAGATATGGATTCACTTCTCTACTCAGCCTGAGAAGATTCAAGCACAAATCTCCAGCCTCCCAGAAGAGTTCCCTAGCCAACAGACTACAGGTTATTCTGAAAAGAATACCCGGCTATTGCTCCTGTTGGAAATGTGGGCAACAGTGTGCTTGATTAACTGCGCAGAAAGAGAATACAAGTGGGGATATGGCTCTGTAGTCTAGTGGCTCATGTACTCACTTTGATGGGGAAGACCTAGATCTGGTCCCTAATCTGAAGACTGTCTCTGTATTTCAAATTAAACAGGCAGGTGATAAAGAAATAGTTTCCTCCCAGGTAAATGCCCTAACCACTAGACTTGCAAACAATGCTGCCTATAACCCAGTGAATCTTGTCTTTTTATTGCTGCACAGTGGCATGTCTTCCACAGGAAGAACTGAGAGTGTCCCTGTCCCAGCCTGGCCTCTACTTAGTGAGTTAGGTATTCTCCTTTCTCATTTGTCCAGAAGAAATATATGAATTTGAACCCTCTTAGGCTGGGGAGGACTTATAACCTAAATCTCCCACTAGAATTGTATATAAAATGTGAAAAGCACCATTGCTACCACACCTGACTTCTTACTAGAAGACAGCCATGTCCATATTTGTGAGAAGCACAATCCTAACAGATGTGTATTACCTGTACTCTGAGAACACGTATGAAATTGGGCCCCTCAGTTACTTAAGTGGGTGAATGCCTACTTTCTGGATCTCAGTGGGATTTACACATGAATTCTGCAGACTGATGCAATTCTGGCAAGGCAAAGAGGTGCAGCTCTGAGTGCCTGGGAAATTTTAGGGTCAGAGAGTATGATGTCTATGGCTTTTAGGTGCCTTCAGGGGTAGGTGGCAGCTCAGAAGGGTTTTTACATCACAAAATTTGAGTTAGGCAACTAAATCCTTTATTGGATTTATTCCAATTATTTCAATGGGATTTGATCACCTAAATACCATTGAGCTTCTGGGCAAAGTGTGACAACCTTTTTTCTGCCAGCCACACAAAGTGGATACCACTCTAGATACCACTAATATCACCCACTTGGATTACTGTCCAAAACAGTCCATGCATCTAGCCAGAAGCAGGTTTTGACATACATCTCCACCCCACAGAATGCATCATTTCCATGAAGCTGCATTTTTGCCCTCTTGGAGAGCAGGAGTGTTAGGGTCACTCCTGTCGCAGGGTCTTTAAACATCCTGAAATATGTAAACAGTCTTTAGCCAACTGCTAAAACCTGCTTCAGTGCTAAGCAAATAATGGTCATGTTATTTTGATTATCTATCTTACTCATATATTGCACCTATATCTTTTACAGCTACTATATAATTTCACTATGGCCCTGTCCTCAGCTGTGCAGAGGTGAAAGGCAGAGGAGTGCTCAAAGCCACTCTTCTCCTTTCTCAGTCTTTGGGACTCCAGTAACATAGTCTAGTCTCAGGGGGGATGTTGCATTATGCTTGGCTGCAGTGTCCCCTTTTCATTGAACTTTTCTGGGATCCAAATTGTAAGAGTGCAGCATGCTCCAGATGCTCCTTTCCTTTTGTGACATACTGGTGGATTGCTGCTAAACTGGACAAGAGTAGCTTAGAGCCAGTGAACTCCACAGCATGCCCCTTGTAGTGGAATTCTCCCACCTGTCTCACCAGGGTAGACTTGGGGCTAATCTGCAACACTAAACCAACTTATTGAATGCTGGGATCACGCCCCATGTTTTCCTTTTAGGCTTTTCTGCTGTTGAATAATAAGACCTAGTTAAAAACCCTTAAATAAAAAAGGCAGTGTTGCCAATTCTGAAAACAATCAAAGCATTCAATTCCTTTTTTTATTCAGTGCTTTGTAGATATGAATATCTTAAATCTAATGAAATGCTCTAGTCATCATTTGCAAATATATAAACATCACTTGAAAACATCCCAGTTATGAATGTTTGTGGAAGTGAGTGATAGTGGGCTCACAGGTGTATCCTTCAGTCTCTTACACCTCCGTGGTATGGAAGCAGGTCAACTAGCTTGCCAAAGTTACATAATGTTACTGGAGTCAAAGCTTGACATTTTTCAATAACGATGATTATTATTGCACTACCTCAAAACAATGAAATAAAAATTTGAAAGAACTATTTAGTCTACAAACAGTTTTCATCTCTCAAAATAGATTATCAGTTGCGGTGTCAGTATTACCATAATGCCATTCTCTGTGTTAACTACTATACAAAACCTTAGAAAAATGTTCAGAAAAATGTAAGCTTTACTACAAAAAACAAATGGAAGAAAATGGTGTTTTTAAGTGCTGAAGAGATATGAAGCATTGCATCTTCATAGCCTGGTAAGAAGCAGCAGCTGTACTTAATTTTAACGTGATGTGCTTCAGATCTCATATTCATATAGGCATTAATGATCCAAATATAATGGTCCTATATAGAATAATTACTTATACGAAGGCACAAGCTTCATATGCATTCTTTTTTAAAAAGGTGCTTCAAGAAGAAACTTGCTGTGGTTTTGACAATGAATATTCCCATCTAACAGTTAAAATGCTTTTGAGGGGCTGAGGAGTATTAACCTTACATTTTAAGTGCAGGAGACAATTTTAGACCACGAACCTTGATGTTACTCCTTCTTTACAGACTCCTTGCATCTTCCTCCAGCCCAGTATAGCCAGTACAAGGAAAACAGGTAGAGTGCAAAACAAACCGTTAAATCATAATGACAGAGCGTTACAACAAATACAACAAAGAAAAGAAAAAAGAAGATTCTGTGACTGATACGCTTTAAAACTAGAGACTCACTAGGTAAACTATGTGCTTCATTTTTCTGGTCACAAATATCAGCAGAATCAGAAACATGCTGCCTTCCATGCTGGGAGCCATCATGCCAGTTTAATATTTTTCCCTCAGTTATTAAACCTTCAGACTGAGATGCTGTCTCTTCAACTTCTTCAATAGGCTCACTAATTAAAATCATTGGCCCTAATGACTTATCTTTTCTGAACTCTGTTTGATGGAAACACTGGCCTATATTCTTTTCTCTTCCATTGCTAGAAGTCAACAAATCTGAACTCTGAAGAGCTTCTTTGTGTTCAACTTCAGGGGAGAGAGTTTTATTAATATGTGTCATTTCACTTGTGGGATTGAAATCATATCCTGATTCAGCAGAAACATTGGGGAGTGGTTTGAATGCAGAGTCTGTATTTGGATGCCCTGTATTTTCTGCCTCAGCAGCAATTATCTTAATAGACTCTTCAGAAGATGTCACTGAAGAGTTTTTGTAATGGTAACTAGATATGATATTTGTATCAGAAGGTGGCATTTTGGTTTCATTTTTAGCACCCAAATGGGAATGTGTTCCAAAAATGCTTTCCTCCTTTTGAAGTTCTTCAATCTCCTTACTGTACAAAGACAGCTGGGGATTTGTGGGGGATTTAGATGACTCTTCTGAACGTAAATCCTGTTCCAAACTCTGTTCTTCTGTAGCAGAAGCCCATAATGTTTTCTCTGCAGGTGGAATATTTCTAATGTCATGTTCTGCTTTGGCAAGTCTTTCTCTGATATTGCATACAGACATTGCTTCTCCTTGCAGTGTTTCATGTTCGTGTGCATTATAAATATCTAAAACTGATTTCTTTTCAAATTCAGTGTCATATAATACACCCACTGTGTTGCGTTGACAAAGAGTATAATGTGAACCATCATTTCTCCCTTCATGTGTATCAAACGCTGTTTCCTTTTCCTCTGTGGGCCTGTCACTTAGTGCAGTCTCTTGAGGTAGCTTAGCAATTACTGCTTTTTCGCTAGCAGACATTTTTTCTGGAGCACTTTCTGATGTTGTTTTAATTATATAAGCTGTACTTGCTTCTGCTTCCTGTGTAATATCATGCTCAGATACAGAAGACTTTTCAAATCCCACAGCCTCATGGCAGGTAAACAATTCTTCTCTGGGAGTAACATTTGCACACCCAGAATTATCCTGCATTCCCCACGTAACTTGACCACCTGTTTGTTCTTTAATATGTTCTGATCTATTTGCTTCACACTCTCTTTCTACCAGTTGCCTTTCTGAAACACCCCAGCTTTGATTTTCAGGTATCACTCTGTTCTTATCCTCTGAAAGGATACTCGCAGATTTAGGTTGACAGGGATCTGTATGCAAAACATTGCTATTTGTTGAAAAATAACATTGACTGTACAGTCTTTCATCAACAACTTTATGACCATTTTCCCCTGTACTGGACACATCATCTGGGTTTAATGACATAGCATTTGAAGCACTAGTGGGAAAAATAGTCACTCTACATTGAGTGGCGTCTGGATATTCACTGTCTATTCTCCTGAAGTCATCACTTAATTCACTATATCCCTCCTCCCTTTGATTTTCTTCCACATAGCTTGAGATTTCTTTGCTTTTGTTGCCTGAGTGTCCTCTGTCTCTTGCCCATGTAAACTCTGTGACTTCACAAGAGCCTGCAGCCTTTCTTTTATCCGCTATATGGGAACAAATCTGGTCATCTGCTTGTGAAGGATTGTCTTCATGTTTGTTGTCCACAGTTGATAGCAACTCTGTGGCTTGTGTTTCAGAATGTGCAAAAATGCCAGCATATAAATCTGTTCTTACATGCACCTGGTCTTTGCTTTCAGTCATGTTGACTTCTCCTTCACTTTTATCAGTGTCTGCCAACAATGAATCTAGAGTTTGGGAAGACATCTGTACCATGTGTTGCTCTACAGCTGGGTTAGCATTGTCATCCAGTGTTTCTGTTGCACATGCACTTAATTGCGTTGGTTTATCATGCTCTGCACAAATTGCTTCTAGTCTCATTTCATAGGTCTCTTTATAGATATAAGCATCATCTTCACTGATGAATAATCTCTCCATCATCTTACTTCCTGAGGCGCTATCTGTTTCACCTTTTGAAACATCCACATAGCTCATTTCTTGTCTGCTTGATACAATATCAGGAGTACCGATAGTCTCATTTTGCTTTGTTCCAGGCAAATATTCCTGTGATAAAAGGGTGGCGGTATCAGTGCATTCCAAAGGCTGCTCACTAATGTTTACAGAGCCTGCAGTAAGTTCCTGTGCTGATGGCTGACTATAATTATATCCTATTGAATACTTTTTGTTATCATTATCATGTAATTCTTCTAACTCTTGTAAAATATTTTCTGAGGAGGAAGTGATAGGCACAGGCTGCCTAAGCAAGTCGGTGCTGGTTTCAGTAAGGGTTAGCTTATTCTCCAGTCCTTGGGCTTCATTTGGAAAATTAACTGGCTCTGTTGTGTATAAATTCCTTTCATCTCTGGAAGAAGTACTTCTAGTTCCTGTGAAGTGCTGATTTAGCTGAAACAATAGAATAGAAAAAATGATCAAAAAAAGCTTTATAAAAATATGCTAAATGAATAAGGCAGGATGTCGTTATGGAAAGTTTTGTTTTCAGTAACAAAGCTTTGATGGAATCATGTTCTGAACCATTTGCAAAATTTGCATTGTATGTATTTTTTAACATATGTAATGAGCTTTATAGTGACGCTGAAAGGAGCATGAAATAAAACAGAATTAAGAACTCTCTCTTTATTCATGAGTTCAGTAAGCTGCAAGTGCATTTTATACAAATGAAATCTAAAGAGACCATGCTCTAAATGGGAGGTTAATTCATTCTCTGCACATTCAGTTCTAATTTTTTGGGTTTTTTGTAAGTGAGAGAATTGATACAGTATATCAAAGCCTGGTAACATACAGTATTGTCCAGTAAAACAAAGACACATTCGCACACAGACAATACTGTAAGGATTATCTTTGCTTCATTTCTCTTTGGGACCTTTTGCAGCCTTCAAACCAGAATGTTTTTAGACAATATAATAAGGCATAAGTTGGAAATGAGATTAGTGAAGTAAAAGGCTAGAAACTAATCACTCTCCTTCCTAGCTCCCAAATATCATATTGTATTATTCAACTATGCCTGCTTGTCATTGCACTCTCTTCTCACTTTAGGATACTCACAATGATAGCTCCATGCTGATCAATTAGAGGATAGTTTCTTGGGCACCCCTTTTTACATTTACACTTGCTGTAGATACCCCATTACAGTTTCTCTTATTAATATGTTTTCTGCAAAGCCTCTGCAAACTATTAATAGTAAAACGTCACTCAAAGAAAAGTGAGGGAGCTAATGTCTCTGCAAATTCTGTTTTAATGACCCTCTGCCAACTGGTGCTCAAATGTATTTGAGCTCTTCGGTGATGCCAACTGTCAGGATTTAACAGTGAGATGCCTGTGTTTTTTTTCCCTTCTCATAACTGACATTTGCATGATCTCAATAATTATATGCAAATCTTACGATTTCCCCTTCTTCTCACATAAGGCTCATGTTACTTGTCAACTGCACAGCTGTCTTGTGAGCCAATGCCTGTGGGTTTCAAAGATTTGGTTGTATTTCCATCTATTATAAACCTTCATTGTTTAATTCATTAAAGAGTGCAGAGTGCAAATTAACATCTAAATTACATCTCCCCCCATTCATTTATTGTATGGGCAATCCCTGTAATTTATAAACAAATCGTTATATTTGATCCAGCTCATTGTAGCAGGGCAAATTGAGAAAAGTATGTGATTTTTATGGCCCTTTTAAAATGCATGTTCGATCTTTAAAAAATATGGAGATGTTGACTTTCAGGTGGTGAGAGGTCCCACTATAGGTGACAACTTTGAATTTTCTGCAAGTTAGAGCTAAGAAAATTTCATATTTAAGTGTGAGGAAGTCATTCTCTTTTTCCTTATCAAAAAGAGAGAGGGGCACTCATTTTCCTTTCTTGTCTGATTCAGCATTCACACTTTCACAGGTGATAGCCATTATAATCTATGATTATGAATCTATGTAACCAAATGATATAAGCTCAGAACGGGCACCAAGAATAATAAATTGATGTATATGTCTCATTTATTGCCATTTCTTTCTCCATGCTGAAAAATGCAAGCCAAACTAAAGGAAAAAAATAAGTAATTTAAGTGTTCACTGAGTGTGAAATTTATTATAACAAATTAATACTAAATACAGATATAGAAAAGTCTACTGTGATAACTATATAATTTGTCCTATTAAAATTATGGAAATAGGCATTTTGTTTATGTGGTGGGTTCCATTGTTAACTTGTAAGAAATGCAAGATCCTAGCAACACCATTAATATAGGAATTTTACCAAATATAAAATGTTTATGTTAAGTATATACTTTTCAGGAGACACTAGGAAGAGAGATCTTTCAAATGTTACTCTTCTAATTCTTCCAAACTGTCATTTAGAGACAGACCTTGCTAAAGAAGTAGGAGAGAGATGTCATTAATTTAACACCACAAGAAATTAATGCAGTATACTAAAATCAAAGTACCTTCTGTTGTTGATTCAGATGGAGATGCAATGAAAACTCAGAACAAGGTTTTACATTTGTAAATTAGTACATCAGCCAGCTCAGTTAAAAAGGGGACATTTCACTGGCTTTGAAGCATAAATAGATTCATATAATCTAGTATGGAAGATGTAATTGTAACACTTACCAGCAACTCTAATTCTTTTTCATTATCTTCATTATCACCTTCATTATATTTCACACTTGTATCTTTTACATTTTTGTTAATTGGTTCCATGTCTTTGTCCTCCTCTTGCGAGTAAATAATTTCTGGGATATTTGCACCTAAAGAGTTAACAAAAATATATTTGAATACTTGAATTGTTTATTTCATTATCTATTTTTAATTAACATGTGCAGTAAGGAAGAACTAATTAAACTGGGTGTTGTACCTGAAGTCCTTGAATTATTCCATATGTCATCATCAGATGTTGCCAGTATTTCTTCTTTGCTGTTAAATGAAAAAGAAACGTCATGAGTTATTTTGCAACAATTATTGTTCCAAATCTTTTTACATCCAAACCTAAAAATAGCTAAAGTAATTATGCAAAATATTTCATGTTTTTTGCAATTCTGAAGAAACATAACTCTACAGACAACAATTGTATAAAATATTTTTAATGATGTGGCATTAACTCTTGGTTAAGGAAAGAAGTATTAAAGAACGTGTTGACTTTCAGATCATACTGTAAAGTTGATGTGTTCTCAGGCATTTGCTGAGAAAACTGCATAAGGATGGATTAGATGGGTGAAAAATAAGGGAGCATCATTTGGGGTTGACCAGGGTTTTGGCTGTAAGTCTGTTGAAGTTGTTTTTACTGTTAAAATATTTGCAGGTAAGCAGAGAGCATAAGACATTTCTGTAAACTGCAATAAACAAAGAAATCTTGCTGCATTGAAGTACCTAAGGCTAAACTGTTCCTGTACTGTAGGATCTAATCCTGCTGCCATTCAGTCATTGATTTCAAATGGAACAGGATCCTTAAAGATAAGAGACCTAAACCTGCCATGTGACTACCCAAGGAAGGGCACTGAGTGTGTTTCACACCTATAAACCTCCACACCTTAGTTGGAGGTGGAGGTTTAGATGGAACTAATGTTCAGGTCCTGATCAGAATTTACCCTTGGTAAATAAAATAGTAATGATTTTTAAAAATATTAAAATATATTTTATAGCAATCAAGGACTCCATCCCCATGAAGAGAAAACATTTGTGTAGGCCTTAATAAGTTTGTGATCTGCCAGACTACTAGTGGTACTAGATTAAACTGCTTTCCAGTTTTCAATTACTAATGTAGTTTATCGCTACATCAGAGGTGTACATCAAGAACTCCGTGAACAACTGTTCACCAGGGCATCTCTGGGGAAAACTAGGGGTAATGGTCACAAACTCCTGGAAGACCTTTTCAGGCTTAACTGAAAAGGAAAAACTACTTCACAGTTAGGGTGTCCAGACTGTGGAAAAAGCTCCCTCCAGAGGTGGCGCAATCACCTACCTTGGAAATCTTCAAGAGGAGACTGAACAGTCACCTTGCTGGGGTCACCTGACCCCAGTTGTCTTTTGTGCTTGTGCAGGGGGCTGGACCAAATAATCTTCCGAGGTCCCTTCCAGACCTTTACAATCTATGAATCAATTAATCTATCATTCTTTTCCTGCTTCATTTTATTCAAACCTCATTCAGTTAGGCTGATGTAACATTCATTTGGTCAACAAAAATATACCCTTCATTCAGAAGTAGAATGCTAAATTTATACTTTGTCAAGAGAATCTAGACACGTACTGTCACCACATGTTTAAAAACAAAGCATTCCCTCCTTTAGGAACTTGGGGACTGCCAGGCTGGATCAGACATGAGATCCATTTAGTCCAGTGTCCTGCCTCTGAGCGTGGCCAGCCCCAGATGCATCCCAACCCTGCAGAAGGATGATGTAAAGTAATCTGCCTTTCCTCATCAGATCTCATCCTGAGTTTTAGCAGCTAAGCTCATCCGTGAAAAATGAGGTTTAATATCCCTTCCACAATTTAGTTTTATCATGAATTACCATAACTCTAGGTATTCTTGATATTCATAAAGTATCTAATCATTTTTAAGCCCTGCTCAGCTAGGGTTTGCCTACTGCAGTGTTCTGTAGATACATGGGGTGCATCCAGACAAGTGCACACGTGCCTCTTGCTCCATCTCAAACCCCTTTGAGATGGGGTAAGAGGCACGTGCAGGAAAGAAAAAATACTTCCCGTGCTGCAAACTTGCAGTGCAGGGAGAAAATTAGACCCCTGGGTATCCAGTGGTCTAAAAACAATGAAGCTCAAAAAAAAGGGGTAGGGCACGGTCCCGGACCATGCCCTGAGGCAACCAGAGGCTGGGCCCTCCACAGAGATGCTCTGGCTGCCACAGCATCTCTGTAGTTGGCCCCTCACCCTGGTGCTGAAATACATGGCCTGCCCATGCAGGGCAAGCAGCTGCTTCAGCACCAGGGCTCCAGGGCTATAAGGGGTCGGGGGCTGGAGGAGGGGGGGAACTATGGGGCAGACCCTGGTGGCCCCACCCACACCGCCAGTCCTCCAATCCCTGCCCCAACCCCTGCCTGCCTCTCCGAACTCCCCAATCACTTTCCTGCCCGGCTCCATCCCCCCATCCCCCCAATCCCTGTCCTGCCCAGCCCACCTCTCCGACCCCTGAGGCCCCTGATCCCTGCTCCCCCACCCCAGCATCCCAACAGTTGAAAAAAAAAAAACCCTTGGGCATTTACCAGAAGTCCAGCTGCAGTCTAGATCACTGGGGCCCTGTCCACACAGCACAGGGCAGAGTGACAGCCCCAGTGGCCTCCGCTTGGGCCCTCCTGTCTTCCATTGCCCTGTGCTGCCCAGGAGGGCTCTGCCAGGAGACCCCAGAGCCCCAACAGCCCCTGCTCCTGGGGTAAGTAGAGGCATTTTTTTTCTTTTTAAAGTGATGGTGCCTGGGGTTGGAGGGGCAGCCATGGGGTTCTGGGGGTGCAATTGTGGGGTGGGTGTGGGTGGGGCAGCCACTGGGGGGGTCTGAGG